GCTAGACCTGCTGAATTTCTCCAACAAATTCTGTTTTTGTTTCAAATCTTCAGTGCCCGCAGTTCTTTGTTTTATATTATTGCTCCAAATTTTATTCACCTATCAGCTGCTTATTTGCTAATCTTTACTGGCTCTCATCAGAGAAGACCAGAGTGAAAGTTCTCATATTTGTTTTCAGATTCCTCTATGGCCTGACTGTTCCATATCTCTGTACCCTTCCCCAGTCTTATGGCCTTCTGAGATCTCTGTACTCTTCCGATCCTGATCTCTTGTGTATCCCAAATTTTAAATGGACCACCATTGATGATCATGCAATCAGTGGCCTAGTGTGACAATACTATAGCTTTAAGAGGTTTATTTCGTCCTTTTTTTATGAATAAAGGTTGAGACAGAGGTTACAAGCAGTCTGCTCAAAGCCAATAGGGTAAACAGCTTATGAGGCCTTGTTTTTTTTGAGTTGCAACAATAGAAGCAGCCTGAGTGTATGTGGTCAAGCTCCCACAGAACCAGGATTTTCAGTTTTAGCTGTTTGCAGTTGCTGGGGTCTTGAAGCTGGACGTGGGAGCTCTTAAACCTCTCTCTGTTATAGCCAAAAGCTGGGATTCTCTTCCTGCTGCTAGAATTGCATGTGAGACAATCTGTTTTACTGAATTTGCCTTTGCCAAGGGTGTGTTTATGGGAAGTTACTATATTGGAACAGTTAATTAATAGTAGTTAGCATATTATTAGTTTGTTAAGCATTTTGATGGAGTTACAGTTAAGCCAATTCTTTTCTTTTCTTTTCTGTTTGTCTGTATTTTAACTGTAGTGTAAAAATAAAGTGTGTTTTGCTTAAAGTTGACTGTCTAATCAATCAAATTGTATCTGGAATGCATCACCTTACATGTATAAAATAAGAAAACATCAGGGTCTAGACTATCTTCTTAATATATATTGAGGGGGTTGGTCTGGTCCATAACACAAGTCACTAAGCTCCAGAGTTCTTTCCCTAAATGACTCTGCCGCTCTTTCATTCTCTCATATCTTAAAACGTTCCTAAAAATATGTAGGATTTTAGTCAAGATTTCAGTCATCTTTCACAAGACCATAAGATTATGATGTCTTCTACATAATTCAGTGTTAAATTTCTTTTCATTGATATCACTCTCAACATTATGGAACAGTATGGGTGGCACAGTGGTTAGCACCACTGCCTCACAGCACCAGGGGCCTGTGTTCAATTCCACCTTCGGGCAACTGTCTGTGTGGAATTTGCACATTCTCCCCGTGTCTGCGTGGGTTCCCTCTGGGTGCTCCAGTTTCCTCTCACAATCCAAAGATGTGCAGGCTAGGTGGATTGTTCATGCTAAATTGCCTGTAGTGTCCAAGGATGTGTAGATTAGGTGGGTTATAGGGGGATGGGTCTGGGTGGGTGCTCTGAGGGTCGGTGTGGACTTGTTGGGCTGAAGGGCCTGTTTCCACACTGTAGGGATTCTAAGATATAGTTTACTACAGTACATTAAATGCACTACATAAAATTGAGTTGCTGTTAATTTTGCATCCACATCTGTTTGGCAAAATATGTTAACTTATTAAAAGTGTTGCCTATAGTATACATTTCATTGTTAATTTGTTAGGAACACAAATAGTGAGTGAGGTTTTGTTTTGGATTCATTCAAGCAACTTTATCTTTGAGCTATTGGAATAACAACCAGTCGCTACATTACTTCCTCTGTCACCCTGTTGCATGGCACCATAAATAATATAATAAATACAAATGAAAACATAGATAGAACATAGAACATAGAACATTACAGCACAGTACAGGCCCTTCGGCCCTCGATGTTGCGCCGACCTGTGAAACCAATCTGAAGCCCATCTAACCTAAACTATTCCATTATCATCCATATGTTTATCCAATGACCATTTAAATGCCCTTAAAGTTGGCGAGTCTACTACTTTTGCAGGCAGGGCATTCCACGCCCTTACTACTCTCTGAGTAAAGAACCTACCTCTGACATCCGTCCTATATCTATCACCCCTCAATTTAAAGCTATGTCCCCTCATGCTAGCCATCACCATCCGAGGAAAAAGGCTCCCACTGTCCACCCTATCTAATCCTCTGATCTATGGAAGACAAATGTAAAACTTTACTGCAACATCAAATCGTTCTTTTACCTTCACAGGTCTACCCTTTCATAATATTAAAATAGCTGTTCCATTTTCAAAGCCGTGTTTTGCTCCACCACTTTTATTACTGAATTACTCCATAGTGCTGTTCTTCTGATCCTCTCTAAGTGTTGACAGTATTTTTGTCACGCCACATTCTACTTAAGCCCCCATCCCTGCCCTAGTTCATCCTCTCTGCACATGTATTAACAACATTCCATCTCTGTGTGCAGCCCAGTACACCTCTTCAACCTATGCTTTTCAGCTATTGTCTCTGCTCCTCATGAGCGACAAAACAGAAGAAACAACCAGTGGAAGTAAAAGGTTTTAATCTGCTTTGACCTAAATCAACAAAGAACGAACACCTCAATTAGTTCAGCCATTTTAATCGAGATGCTGACATATATGCTTTAGGTAAATTGCCATATTCTAGCAAATTGCCATATCACTGCTGTGACTTCCTCTGCATCATGTGACTGACAAAGAGAAATATTAAAATACAAAAACGCAATACATTTCAATGAATGACTGCAATTTTTAAAATTGCTTTGATATTTAGCCTAAGTTTTAATCATATCTTGTACAACACACTTGAGAACAAAGCAGATTATTTTGTTAAGAACAAACACACAGATAAATTCTAATATTTAAGTAATTTGTCAAGAAATTAAGAGCTTTGTTCAGACTTTTACAGCCTTTCTAGAGAGTTGTTGACAAAAACCTGTCAATTTGTACTATTTCTAGCTCAACCCTACACCACTAATAACTAAGATTATATGCTGCACTGTTCCTCTCATCCCAGCATCTTTGGGGGTAAACCCATCTCGAGCTAATGGGCTTGCCCAACTTTAATTCTCAGACTGATGGGCCTTTTAATAATAATGACGTGCAACTCCCTCCCCTCACCAGGAGGAAGTCCCATTTCATTCAGCTGTTGCTAATTGAAGGCCAGACGCTCTGCAGCCCCAATAGCAGAGCAGAAGCTGTGGTCACAGTTGATCCTGAGGGAAGCCCGGAAAGAACAGCATCCATCTGTAGCCTTGAAGCCAGATTTGTCCAAGTTCTCAACAGGATGTTAGGCCCTGATGAGAGCAGGGAAGTGGACGCAGGTTCTTGAGGACATTGGACAGGGCAGGGTGGATAAGTGGAGACAATACTGTTCGAAGGGGGCCTCTGATTTGAACCAGGAAATAAGGCACCCTCCCACTCACCTTTCATTGAACAGAAATCCTTAGAGTCAAATCTGCCAGGCTGTGTATTGGGCACAGGCCCCTCCCACTGCCTTTTAATATTTTCTTTTCTATTCTTTCACGGGATGTGAGCATTGCTGGCAAGGCCGACATTTGTTGCTGAATCATAATTGCTCTTGAACCTATAGTCTTGCTAGACCATTTCAGCCAGTTAAGAGCCAGCCACATTGCTGTAAGTCAGGAGTCACATGAAAGCTAGAGCAGGTAAAGGTGGAAAATTTCCTTCCCTAAACGACATTAGTGAATCAGTTTGGTCTTTAACAACAGTTGATTATAGTTTCATGGCCTTTCATTATTGACAGCACCTTTCAACATCAAACTTATGACTTAAATTTAAATTACACCAGCTGCTGTGAATGGATTCGAAACAACATCACCAGAGAATTAGCCTTTGCCCCTGGATTACTGGCCCAGTGACCTTATTATTGCACTCTATCTTCTTCAAGAGACAACAGGATGAGTCTTTTGGGCAGGTATCAATTGAACTATCGATTGGGCCATGGGCAGGCAATCCATCTGACACCTCCTCTGCCACGCTGAGTTCAGCATGGTGTCCTATTTTATGGGTTCACCTGCCTGTGTCCCCGCCCACAAGTGACCCATATAACTGAGTCCAATGACACTGCATCTCATTGTGGCTAATGATCCTTTATACCAAGCAGAGTGTGAAACTGATAATAGACAATATTCTGAGCTGTTTTGCCTGGATTGAAAATTGTACATGATAAGAATGATTTGATGTATTGGAATTCTGTGATTGGATGGAACAATAATTAATCTGAGTTTGACTGCACACTGAAAAAGAACTGCAGAAATCAGTGGCTGTTAATTTTAACTAGTAATGTCAATTAATTTTGCACAATGGACTGGGGGCACTTTATTTACAATATCAAACCACTATTCCAGTGGATGTTTTTGTGATTTTCGACTTAACACGGCGAAGGATGTTAGTAGAGGTGTAGAGCTGAATGAACACAGCAGGCCAAGCAGCATCAGAGGAGCCAGAAGGCTGACGTTTCGGGCCTAGACCCTTCTTCAGAAATGGCCTGCTGTGTTCATCCAGCACTACACCTTGTTATCTCAGATTCTCCAGCATCTGCAGTTCCTACTATCTCTGAAGGATGTTAGTATTTGGTATTGAACGTCAGGTCAGGTAGCTCATACTACTATAAAATAAAACTTCATTCTGTTGTTTCATGTCATTTCAAAAAAAGAGTTTTAGAAAAACAACATCTGGAATCCATCCTAATTTGTGCAACTGAATAATATGATTTCCTTCCCTTTATTGGGGCAGTTTTATGAACATGGGGTTCAAACCGTTCCAGTCTGTATCGCACTTGACCTTTACAGTCACCATAGGCAGAAAAGGTTTTCATTTTGTTAAACCCAACAATTGAATCTTTAATGGTAAAAATGAATATCTAACATTTTTCATTATTTAATCCCTACAGGTTAATGAAACTCAAGTTTGGTATTACCTGTTCACCATTTCCTGGTTTAACTCACTTTCTTTGAGGTTTTCCAACCCCTTGTCTCAGCTACTCACACAGGTTACATAAGTAAAGCAGGATCAAGATATATCTCATGAACTAAACCACTTACCTCAGCGCTGCAGTCTTTCCATTTCTGTGCATGCACGTAACCTGCCTTGTTTGGTAACCGATCAGCACGTCAAAATATTTAGTGTCCTGACGGATTTGACGGTTTCGGTTCCTCTTTTTCTTCATAAGCTCACGGGCTTCAGGGTCCCTCACTCTTTTTCCTACTTGCCGGGTTTGTCGAGAATGTGGAAGAGAGCATGCACTCCAGGGGCCAACTCTCAAACTGTAAATACTTTCTTCTGCATCGCAGGAATTGAACGTGCAGGTCCGGAACTCAGTCAGGTTGGGGCATGGTTCCCCACCGTACAGCGGGGGCACTAACATTTGACGAATGCGGTGTTGTAACCCAACTCCGCAGGATTTGGTGCATTCTGACCAGGAAGTAAACTCCGTTACCACACAGTTCTGTGGGCAGGGGATGAGACAAGCTTGTTCAATGTGGGGCTTAGTCTCAAAATAGTCACAGATAACATCCTCCGCTGCAGCTCCATTTCGTTTCTCAATGCAAGTTACATCCCTGGTTTGAATTCCTTCTTCACCTTTCAGGCACTCTGACGCTACTCTTGAAGAAGGGTTCCTGGAAGCGACAGGTAAGCATTTGCTCCACTCACCCACCTGCCACTTATACAGGTCTTTGTGCCAGTCACAGACTTTGAAACAATTTTGCTGGTTCTCTGGTCTTTCCGATGGTTTACAGTTAGTGGGTAAAGTAGTCCATCCCTCCACATGGGCACACCATACTGACCTGGTTTGGACACCTCCTGGGCCACACTCCTCTCCCATACATCTCCCCCAGGTACCTGCAAGACAAAGAATTCAAGAAGAATTTGTTTGTTGGTTAGATGCTTTCATTAAATGTTAAAGATGCAAAACCATATCAATCCACATTGCTGCATTTTCCATGATATTAAAATATACATTAGACTGTACATATGCTATATATATAAAATACACATAATAAACAGCCTAGTGGTATTATTGCTGCACTGTAAATCCAGAGACCCAAGTAATGTCCTGGGGAAAAACCGAAAGAACTGTGGATGCTGTAAATCAGAAACAAAAACAGAAGTTGCTGGAAAAGCTCAGCAGGTCTGGCAGCATCTGTGAAGAAAAAAACCAGAGTTAACGTTTCGGGTTCTGAAGAAGGATCACCAGACCTGAAACGTTAACTCTGATTTTTTCTTTACAGATGCTGCCAGACCTGCTGAGCTTTTCTAGCAACTTCTGTTAATGTCCTGGGGACTCGGGTTCAAATCCCACCACGGCAGATGGTGGAATTTGAATTCAATAAAAAGTACACCTGGAATTAAGAGTCTATTGATGACCATGAATCTATTGTCAATTGTTGGAAAAATTCGTCTGGTTTACTAATATCCTATGACTATGAGTCTGCTGTGACTCCAGACCCACAGCAATGTGGTTGACTCTTAACTGGCCTCTGGGCAATTAGAGATGGGCAATAAATGCTGGTCTAGCTGGTGACGCCCTCATCGCATGAATGAATAAAAAAAAGTATATATGTTGTATATTTCTTATTCAGTTCTTGGTAGCATTGTGAACAAATCTATTACTGTGTATGGCACTGATATATACAGGACAGCAAAGGTCATTTAGAAATTCCAAGGCAACAATCTGCTGGCTTTCCCAATCCCAGATGTCCCTTGTATGGAGAATGCAAATTTGTGGACATTCGCATCAAATTTAACTTTGAAAGGGACAATCAATAACCGTTCAAACTGGCAGTGAAGAGGTCAGGAGCTATCTCGTATTCTGCTCTCATTTCAATACAATCGGTGATCTGTATTGGAGACAGTTCAAAGAAGGTTCACTAGAATGATTTCAGAGATGACAGGCTTGGATAATGAGCAGGGATTGAGCCGTTTAGGCCAATATTCACCAGAGTTTAGAAGAATATGAGGAGATCTAATTGAGGTATATAAGGTGTTAAAGGGATTTGACAAAATAGATGTGGAGCAGAAGTTTCCCTTTGTGGGGCAATCTAGATTGAGAGATCATACTTTTAGGCTAAGAGAGGGCAGATTCAAAACAGAGGTGAGGAGGAGGGTCTAGGCCCGAAACATCAGCCTTCCTGCTCCTATGATGCTGCTTGGCCTGCTGTGTTCATCCAGCTCTACACCTTGTTATCTGAGGAGGAATTACTTTTCTCAAACAGTCATGAATCTGTGGAAGTCACAACCCCAGAGTGTGATGGATGTGGGGACATTGAGTAAATTTAAGGAGGAGATGGACAGATTTTTAATTTGTAACAGGCTGAAGGGTTATGGGGAGAGGACAGGAAAGTGGAATTGAAGCCGAGATGAGATCTCCCAAGATTGTGTTGAATGGCTGAGCAGGCTCAAGGGGCTGAATTGCCTACTTTTGCTCTTAGTTGTTATGTTCTTATGTTCTCTAGGCACCAACCAGGTGTCACAATGCAGGGGATGGCTCTAAGTCAAACAGCACAAAGGCTGTGCAGTTGGCAATAAAATAAATGCCTTGCTCCAGCTTTCCCCATTAAAAAAACTTACTGGGGTCTCTTTAATCAGAAAAACTAGTAGGACAGTGCAGTTCGCATGCTCATATCCTGAAATCATGATCTATATCACAGAACAAATGAAAGGGAGCTTATTATTTGAAAGTGCAGGTATTTGGATCAGCTATTGGCAGGACCTTGTTATGTGGCAACAGGCGGAGCATCAGCATTAGTGGTCAATAAATTTATCCACATCAATTTATGGTTATTATCACCCCATTAAAGCCAACTTTGCATGTTAATATGATGTGTGATAATGCAGGATCTTAAACTTAACTACAAACCTGCCCAAGACAGTTCTCACTTGCACAAAACAGAAGTTGCTGGAAAAACTCAGCAGGCCTGGCAGCATCTGTGAATTAAAAATCAGAGTTAACATTTCGGGTCCGGTGACCCTTCCTCAGAAGGATCAGAAACAGTTCTCACTTGGCTTACAGAAAGAATGGTCACTTCTCCAAGCTACCAGAAGAGCAGCAGCACTCATATGATCTATAAATGAGTATGGACCAACAATCAACAGAAGAACGTTTGTATTTCATTTTACATTGGGAATTAAAAGATGATACTGCAATATTTTCAAAGATTCACATGTTCAGATTGGTTAACCCACAGTATGCTGCTAATAGCAGTATTCTAAGGGATCTTAACCAAAATCCTGTAAGTATTATTTACTTTCTAGTCAATAACCAGTCCAATCTGACAGAAAAGAATTGGGTCTGGATTATATGGTTCCCCTGGTGGGTATGTTATCAGGGAGGATGGGGTTGGGGGGCACATAAATGTGAAGCGTGGCAAGGCCATAAACCTCTGCCCAGCCCCCAAATCATCTCCCAAACTACAGCAGGTGCTGTTACCAACAGTCTATCTGCCATTTTTAAATAAACTGTTATGATCAACTGAGCATATTAACAAGCCATTGACATTAAAATTACACAGTGCATGTCACAGTACAGTTGGTGTGGGTGGGAGTTGGCAGGCCATTTCTAAGCAGAAGTTTAAATGGCAGGAAAAAAAGATGAGGAAACCTGTTTTGCAGCTGCCCTGTGCATTTATTGAGCATCCCACAGGTTGCATTTTGTAATTCCATATCTGGCCTCCATCACCCACAGTGTCAGCCCCCAATAAACTCTCCCAAGTCTGTTCAGTCACTTCTCAACCTCTCCGCCATAACAAAAGAGCAATGGATTTACTGTGATACAACAACGTTGTGTGTGGGCCTTTTTGCTGTCTCAGCAGTGGCCCCAACGCTGTTCTGGTGCTGCTGGGACTGCTTGAGCTGTTTGCCAAACAGATTAACTGGCAACTGCCGAGGGTGGACGTCCCATTCTCAGTCATTTTGCCCAACAGCACCATGTTTTGGCTGCGTACAAACCTCTTAAGTTCATTGTCTGCAGCTTGTTTAAGCAGGGGAGGGGGTGGGTGGCAGCAAGTGTGGGAGGGGTGCTGTGCAGTATGCTCCCTTGTGAAATTCAGTTCTTGGTATTTTCTATGAACTTGGAGCCCTGAAAATTTATTAATCCAGAAAATGAACTGAACTAACCATATAAGTACAGTGGCTACCAGAGCAACTCAGAGATTAGGAATCTTACAGTAAGTAACTCAATTCCTGGCTCACAAAAGCTTGTCCACCATCTACAAGGCATAAGTCCGGAGTGTGATGGAATACTCCCCACTTGCCTGGCTAGGTGCAGCTCCAACAACACTCAAGAAGCTTGATAGTTTCCAGAACAAAGCAGCCTACTTGATTGGCACCACATCCACAAACATCCACGTCCTCCATTACTGATGCTCTGTAACAGCAGTGTGCACAACTTACAATATGCACTGCAGCAATTCACCAAGACTCCCAAGACAGCACCTTCCAAATCCTTGACCACTTCCAACTTGAAGGACAAAGGCAGCAGATTACTGAGAACACCACCATCTGCAAGATCCCTTCCAAGCCACTCAGCATTCAGACCTGGAAATATATTGTCGTTCCTTCAATGTCGCTGGATCAAAGTCCTGGAACTTCCTTCCTAATGGCATTGAGGGGGCACCTACACCAAATGGTCTGAAGTGGTTCGAGAAGGCAGATCAACTTCACCTTCTGAAGAACAACCAGGGATGGATAATGAATGCCAGTCCAGCCAGTGTTAGTCACATTCCCTGAGTGATTAGTATACTTCAATGATACTTGTGCATTAAATTAATGATTCGGCTAATTCTACACTGATCAAAGAGATAACAACATTATAATTAACTCTATTCCTGTCAGGGAGATGATGGTATAATAAAAGTGACAACTGCAGGGCTACAATTAAAACCAGTCAAACCAGCTGCAATGCAGCAAAGCGTGCAATTCAGAATTTAATATTTTTGATTTGAGATTTATCTATCCAAAGAGCTGCTTTTCATGTCACAATAAATTGAAAAAAGTTACATTGTAAGAAAATCATGACCTTTTCAACAATATGAATACACAAACAAGGAATGGGAAGTTGACCATTCAGCCCTTGAAGCTGCATTGTTGTTTATCAAGATCATGGATGATCTGAATATAACCTCAAATTCACATTCACACTTACTCCTGATAACCTTTCATCTCCTTGGTAACCAAGAATCTATCCACCCTTGCCTTAAGAATATTCAAAGACTGTGCTTACACCATCTTTTCAGGTCGACAGTTCCAAAGATTCATGCCCCTCAGTGAGAAAAAAAAACCTCATCTCTGTCTTAAATGGGCGGCCCCTTATTTTTAAACAGTAACCCCATAGTTCTAGATTATTCCACAGGAGGAACATCCTCTCTATGTCTACACTGCTGAGACATCTTGATCTTATATAGAAAAAGGTAAAGTAGCCATAGTCCTAGCAAACCATAAGGCTGCCCTCTCTTAGAGAGAGAGACAGAGAGAGAGACAACTGGTGTGTTTTAATCTGACGATCACTATGTCTCAGGCAAGAGGCAGGGAGTTGAGAAGCAGAGTCCTTCATGGTAACTTCAGTCAGTGCAGGAATTGTAACCTACACTATTGGCACCACTCTGCCAAACTGGCTGTCCAGCCAACTTTTTAATTCTACATACCAAAACGGATAATTTCACAACGTTCCTGACAATGACTCCAGGTTTTTGAGTTACTCAGATCATTTGTACAATGGTATGACTCTTTTTCCCATTATCTGGCCATAAAATGTGCAAGATACTGGTTAATTCTTCCTAAAAATTAATGTAATCTCCTGATATCACTCTACCAATCCCAAGATAGTGTTAAGTTTAACAATGTAAGGCTTTAAAATTGCATTCACCAAAATACAGCTTAAGACTGTTCCCTAATGAAATATCAATAGAGCTGACCAAATAGTTTCATATTGGCATAATGCATGCTCCTCAACTGATATTCAGTTTGATTTCAATATCATATGGCATGAGAGGACTTACTGCCTTCTACCAATTTAGACATTTCTCTTTACCAGATTATGAAATGAATGTGATATCCACAATTGAAAGAAAATAAAATCAAACAATTCAATCACACATCACAAAATAATTAACTATGTGTATAAATACATGTATAAGTCCATAAAAGAATTGGCAATGTATTCACAAATTATTTAATAACATTTCCAAATTACTCATTGCGTTGTGGTGGTACAGCTAGTGCTGACTGAAATATGTGGGACTGATACTTTGCAAATGCAAATGAAGTAACTCAATACAGGTCTATCTTTTGCTCTATCTCTTCATTATGAGTGCATTGAGCACAAACGGTGAGTCAGTGCTTCTCTTGATTAAACAATCAGTCTTTCTGAAGTACTTTCCCAAAATCAGTCACAAATCCTTTCTGATCCTGATTGTGTTCGAGGGATTCAATTTGTTTTCTGAATTCTGAACTCATTGCATTAACTATTGTACTTGGAAATTTTTAGATACAGCTAGACCTCAGTAGCCAGAGCAAAAAGAGTGCAAAGATCTATATAAAAGCTATGAAAAATGATCTTGTAATATGAAAAGAATTTAAATGACTCTCTGAAATTGCTTTCATATGAAATGATTTTTTACATGAGTGCTATGAGAGAAAGAATTGCCCAATTTTGACCATTTTGATTCATTTAAACCACAAAGCAGCAGTCTTTCTATTAATCCAGTGGTTACTAAAGCACAAGCATGAACTATGTTGTTTGGGCAGAACCTTCAAGTGTCCCTGAAGCTTTTAGAAAGGAAGTGGAGGAATTTATTTTGGAAGGAGGCAAATATTCAATTTCCTG